CGGAATTTCGCCGCCTAGTAGCGGCTGCATGCCCTTTCCAATAATCTATCACCGGATCTAGGGACCCCGAACGAAGACATAGCTCATAAACACTAACGATTTCCCGCTAAGTGGTGAGGTTTTATGACATAACATCGTCACTTTGGATCGGGTAATGTACAATTCACCGGATGTTAACTTCGTTTTACGATCATTCCACGCCAACCCAACTAATAAAACTGCAACTTTACATACCACTATCTCAACCCTGGACAAAATTTGGTCTGCAGGACTATGTTGAGCTCCGGTCATAATTCTGGCGTTTTTTAACCTCAGTACCCAGCCGTTTTCCGCCATGATGGCATCTGGACATGGCGTAACAAAGGAAATGTGCTAAGTAAACGACGATAACTCCGCCACCATAGCATATTTTGCGCTCAGAAGCGGTCGGTGCGGCGCGGCATCCCCGGCCGATCGTAACTGTAACTGCGACTGTAATTGTAACTAGTCGGCCCCTTGCGCCCCCCTGCTCGCTGCCGGCTGACCCAGGCAGCGCCGGTGCTCCCGGCAGCTACAGCGCCGATGCCGCGACCTGTCACCAACATGTTCATTGTTGGCTACTGCCTGCTTCTAGGACTAATACCAGTCAGTGGGAAGCTATGCAGAGGATGCAGAAAGTGAGTTCCGAAGAGGGATTTCGAGGCAATAGATCTGCCTCATTCGGACTCTGACCAAACCGGACCTGTCTCGGTCAGCTCCATCGAGCTTGCTCCCACAACCGGGCAGGTCAAACAGACAAGATCCGTTACAGCCGGGGCCCAGGCTCAACTCCGTTCGGTGGACTTCTCAACAACTAGGAGCCTCTTCAGCGGCCATTCATGAAGACGGACCTTCACCATCGTCCACACAACAGCTTAGTTCACCCGAAGACATCCAAACAATCTGGTCATCAATAAAAACATGAATGTCATCATGCCTGTCATCGCTGTCATCGTGGCTGTCATGTGTCAGTCCACACAGGTGAGCTGGCAGCTGGTTTGCATTCGCCTGCCATAAGTGATTTTTATGAAGAACTGTTCACTAAACCCGAGATTTGCTGAAGATTGTACTACGTCATCACGTATTTTTGTTCTGTTTCTTCGTTGAAGTTCTAGTTAATTTGCGCGACGCAAGTAATGAGAACGTCATCGGTTTCTCACCAAATCTAAGCATAAACATGTTCAGAAATGCTGCTGATAGAATCTAATACATGTACAACTACAGGCCGCACACATATTGCATAATTTGTATGAAGCATACGCATGGTGAAAGAGTGTCTTGCTGAATGTGCTGCTCTCTACGTAATATCAAACTGTTTTGCGAAAGAGAGAGTCGGCAAAAACAAAAGACCTCGGGGAAACAACGAGGAAACACACGGGGACATTTAATTATAGTAAAAAACTGATGACGGAACTTGTAGGTAAGTTTAATCGCCCCCAACATAATGCATATTCAAAGTGCAGATTCTTACACTGTTCCCATACAAATCCATACAACTGTATCCAGCTTTGGCGCCAGTGGCGGAGGCAGAGGGAGCTTGCACCTCCTCCTCCCTTGATGTCCCCCGGAAGCGACGATTAAGGGCCGGAACGGCCGGCCCGGGTCTGTGTTAAAGACCCTGGCAGATATTCCTGGGTACTCGAATCCCGGTCAAAGGTCCCTTTGCGCCGATTGGGAGCCCCTCTAATCAATGAGGGCCTCTAAGTCGGTCAGGCACTACCAGCACCGAGCAGTCGGCTCCATGTCCGTCTGGGTCTGAGGACCCATTGCCCAAGCAGGGACAAGACTGGGGCCCGCGATTTACATTGGTCGGAGCTCCTGAGTCAATGAGGGGCTCCGTGTCGGTCAGGGGCCCATGGTGCTTTGCAGGAGGCCCCTGTGCTGCCAAGTGGCCCTGAGGCGGTCGGGAAAGTGTTCGAGGGTAACCGTCAAGGGTCCGATTGAAAGGCCGAAGGGCCCGAAATGCTGGTTGTGGACCACAACACGGACTTTGACCGGAAGGGCTACAACTTCAATTTTCAGTTAAAGGGCTTCTTGCACACGAACACAAACTACACAAACAGTCAGCCCCGTGTCGGTCTGAGACCTGGGGCACATTTCCCGAGGTGGGACAAGATCGGGGTCTGTAATGTGCATTGGTCAGGCCCCTGAAATAATGTGGGGTCCCTATGTCGATCAGGAGCCCACGGTGCCCAACGTCGGCAAGAAGTCGGCAAGGAGCCCCCTGATTTCGGCAAGGGAACATTTGCTGAACATGGACAGGACTCCGAATGCCAGTGGGCCTCTTGCGTTGGCCGGGGTGCCCAAACGGCGACAGGGCATATCAAAACTTATGAGGGGAGTCCACCATCGAGCAATGAAAAGGCGAATGTGTCAGTTAAGGTCACCGGTACCTAACGGGGAGGGGGGGGGTCCATTCCTTTTCAGCCAAAGGTCCGCTGAACCGAACTGGAGTTTCCATGCTAAATACCGGACCCCCTCCAGCGATAAATAATCTGGTTTGAGGTAATGTAGACCTCTGCGTCGATCCCGGGCCACTGCACGGGTCAGAGCGTCTCCCGCGTCATGGATGGAACTCGAGTATGACGTATCCCCCTATGGGCTTTCGGATCCACCAGAGAACAGCGTCCCCATGTCGCCAGAATAGCAGCCAGTAGACACCCCGCATTGGGACGGAATGGGCCTTCCGCGCTTCGCCTGGAACGATGCGCCCCCTAGCGTTCTGCTCTCGGGCCCCGGCACGCAAGAGTGACCGCCGTGAAATAAAACTTCCGTAAATCATTCAAAAGCAAGCCGTATTGTTCAACGGTAGGACTTGGATGTGTTTATCACCTGAGACATTTTCAGATTGTCTTTTGAACAGATTAACAGCAACAGTAACACGAAAATACAGAATATTTATATGTTCTTCCAGTTTCAAAGACAGATTCCAGCAACAGTTCGTGGTAATGTCAATGCTAATCCGCTCTTTTTATCAGTCCAAAAATACCACAAGTGAATAATACGCTCAGGCCACCTGCTAAACATACCAATGAACATGCCCAAGCGTTAAAAGGCACTTATTTCAGATGCGTCACAATTTTCGTCCACCCGTTGGCCGGCGCCTCGTGTTGGTCCCAGGGTCGATGCCGCACTGCCCATGGAGACCGTAATGTCGGGCGTCGGGGTTTTTGTTTGAAAGACTCGTGAGCGCGCAGGTTGAAACCTACTTTACATTATTTGTTTTCATTCATCAATTCTGAGTGAGTGTTGAACATTTTCAGACGACTAAGGGTTGACCATGTTAATGAGAATGTGTTAGCCCATTTCCATCTACAAAATGCTATCACGCAGTCCGCAATATCTTTGTGGAACCCAAAAACATTTTGGCAAATTCTGTGGGTGCTATCGGTCCAGCAAAAGTACAAAGAACCACTGCAAAACAAATGGTGCCGATGGTTCTTTTTCGTGCAGCCATTTAACAAGGGATTCCTTCGGGGTATTGATTTAAAATATTAACAATTGCAACTTTCAATAGTTTCTGGCTTCTGCTGTAGTTAAAGAAAGTAATAATGAAAGCAATACAGATAACTCGCGTCCTCCTAAAACTTATGTGGGCCGTATCCGGCAATTTGGGGGGGGAGGGATTTCATAATCAGAGACCCTTTGTCAACCCTGCCCCCCCCCCCCCCACACACACTCAAGACTGGCTGCGCCATGTTTAGCGCCACGAAACACATGATGAAAAGAGCGCGAAAAATTCGGCCGACTGACAGGGCACAGATGGCTACAGATGAACAACAGGCAGTCTCGTGGTATGCACAACTGTAAACACAACTGTTGTTGTTCGCAATTGCGTGGACGATGGTGAAGATACAGTTTTGCATATGGCTGCTGAGGAGGCTCCTGTTGTGATTTGAAAAACGGCCGAAAGGAAGCTGTGCCTGGGCCCCCGGCTTGTGGCGGATCCTGCACGTTTAACATGCCCTACTGTGGGAGCGGGCCTCGCTGGACCTGACCGAGACGGGACCGGTTCGGTCAGTGTTAGCATTCGACAGATGTATGGCCTCAGAATCCTCCTCTTGAAACTGCTTCCTGCACCATGTGCCTAGCTTGCCGGCGAAGTAGAAGCTCCAGAAGCAAACAGTGGCCAACAATAAGCCTTTTGATGACAGTTTTCAGCCCTTTATTGATCATTTTACCCTTCAGGCCCAATGGGTTAGCACAAACTACCTTTTGCAAAGCATGAACTCTTTATAACTAGTGCGCACATCGGACCGTCCATCCGTGCCAAGCTCATGTCTCGCCCAGTACGTCACAGCTGAGAAGACCGATGTCGTTGGGCATGGGGAGAGAAGGCTGACAACCGGAACGCTATCAGCGTTCCAACAATGATTACAACATTCTTTCAATGCATAATGAACGAAGATTTGAGCTTTTTAACAAATCGCAGGTGTCAACAACTTAGGAAATGTGCTTTTTATACTATGAAAAGCACAGTTATCCCATAACGATGCAATCATTCAACTTGTCTTGATATTGGCAGTCAGAGTATTTTATTGCCTACATGATTTTTGTTTTTCTGATGGAATAAAATATGTCATGATTGTGGTTATTATCGTTTCATTTAATCCAATTTTCATCACTACGTCTTTTCTGACATCAATAACGGTAAACGCCGGGGTGCAGAGGTCTCAACGCTTCAGAGCCGCGATTGGAGCACGAGATAACCCTGTACACGAATTTTAGTTCTGATCTCAGATGGTGCATGGGCTCGACTAGTGAGTTGGCGTGCAGTGACAATTAACGATGCATCCAAATTATCAATGGGTATATGTTCGATAACGTACGCAGTAGGCACAATGAGCATGGGCATCCAATTGGTTTGCGATAAGAGCATATCCGCATCCCGTGATCGCGATCACTAGAATTTCTCTCTTTCACTATGAACGCGTGTAGAGAATGTATCCGGGGGGAGGGGGGGGGGGGGGGCTCGCCCGCACCCGCGCTGCCCGGGGAGAGCCTTACGGGCCGGGCCGAGGACGCCGTCTGAGGGCTGTAGAGCTGGCGGCGGCCGACGCGGGACACAGCGATCTCGGCCGACTCCCAGTAGTCGGTGCCGTTCATACTGGCCGTGCACCTGGGGGCACATCAACTGGGTCAGGCCAAGGCAACAGGACACTTTACACAGCAACTCCGGAAGACGGTGTGTCACTGGACACGGCTGCTCTAGATTGTTGTGACGTCGCCAAGAGGTCGTATGCTGTGAGAAATTATGCGGCATCAGCTGAAGCGCGCTTGGGATCATACACTTTCAGTAAGTGTTGATGTAGCAGGCTCATTGGGGGGGGGGGGGGGCTTTAAGGAGCCGTGAACATGACCTTTTTTGGGTATAAACAGACGTCTTGGTCCGCCCAACGGCACCGGGACGGCACTTGACGGCTCGTTCAAACCACATGCCACTTACCTAGGGCCTCGAAAACTATATCGACCTCTTCGATTGCCAGCGGTCTCCGTTTAGCTTTAGGCATCGAAAATGGTGTTACGAGTGTTTGCCAGCGGGAAAAACAATGTTATTACATGGATTAAAGACACGTCCTTAAAAGATGGCAATAGATAGTAATAACTGGCAGAAAATGTATCAAAGGTTTGCAGTTTGAGAATGATATGTTTTTAATCGATCTTATCGTAATGATGGGAAACAAACTTCTTATTTACAGTTGAGCAGGTGATAGGGCTTTTACATACCTGCCTTGATCGATACACATTTGTAGTACCACTAAAACGTCAACCTGCCACATATCCGACTACAAGCAGCATGGCGCCGTACAACCCCAACGACTTGAAAACAGTGCTGAACAGATGGCATGTAAATAAACAAGTATCAACTTGTAAGCAGCACAGTTAACGGACATGGTACCGCATAATAAATGAATGAGTCCAAAGAAAGTACAAAGGTCAAGTAAACATCATGTTCCAAACATTTGGTCATTACTGAGCACCCCGACCACTTGATCAAGGCTTGGGGCTGTCAGTTAAAGCACTCCACGGACTGAGCCTTTTGAGGGCGGTTCAGTCCGGCGCGATTCTCTAGAAGCCACGACTCTCGAAATTTCTCAATGCAATCCGGCCCGGCTAAGCAGAAGTATGCTCATGAAACCAGCGTCAATCCTCCTTCAAGTTTCTTTATTTTCTCACCAAAAACAAATATGTCACACCCTGCACATCGTACTATTCGTCTTTGAAAACTTTTATCTTAATATTCTGAACTGCTGCAAAAAAACAGCAGTCAGCAGTTCTGTTCGAAGCAGCCTGACTGTTTGAAAGAACTACCTGCTAGCAATCCTCTCTTGAATACTAACCTCACAGTCTGAAATCCGTATTCCTGGCAAAGATCCTAAATTTTCAAAGAAAATACAGGCTTAGCGAAAGGTAAGATCAATGTTCGGATGCGGCAGAATAGGACTAAAATGGGCCGCAATGTTCTGCCTTTTAGATTTCATAATATTCTACAGCTAACCATTCAAAGATGTTGGTGACAATTGGACGGATAATCATATTTCTAATAAATTTGATAAAAATTACATCTGCAGGGTATTATGAAGCTTTTTAACTACACAACCTAACAGAGCTGACAGGCCATGACGGCATGGGTCCATACACTTTGTAAAACATGCCTTGCTACCGGTCTATGCAATGGCTAAGAGACACCTTATAGTATAAATGTGCATAAGGCTTATACAATCTGATCTAATACGCACCCGGATGGCCGGCTGAATACGCTTCGCTCAGGTTTGTGGGGGGGGGGGGCAGGTTGAACACCCTGTGAAGTCAAAAATCAAGATAGCTAGAGATGCCAAATTCACAGGGTAGATTGGCCTGTGTGTGAATTCACTTGGGTCAAAATGTGAGGTTTCAAGGCGATAAGTTTGTTGTCAAATAAGGTCAAACAAGGTCGAACTCAAAATTGTTGTCTCAAGTTCCCCGCACTTCCCCATGCAACCGCCGTGAAGCTAAATACATATTCTAAACAAATGGTCAGTGAGGTCATTGACCATATCTTATCTTCATGAGGTTGAGGTGACCAAATGCCTAGGAGATTACCCCTATTTTGTCATTGCAATACGTGTTAGTGATTACGCCATGCGGTATTTTCCTAAAAACAAAACGTTGATCTGGGTCATTTTAGGTCATTGATCTGCCTTAAAAACGTCCACGGAACATATCATTCTCGTTCCTTGTCATTACCTAATTCCAAATGAGCACCAGAACCTTTTCAAGAACACGAATTTTTTGCTTGTTACCTGATAAACTATCTCAGATACATCTGGCTTCGTCTAGCACTCCGTTGCTGCATCACATAGAACGATTCCCCACAAATGCCCTTTGTTGACAGCCATAGCCTGACCTGCTATAAATAAGCGACATTACAAGGTACGTCTAATATTTTACATAAAAGATCCGCGTTTTAATTGTCTACAGCTATGCAAGGTTTGGCGCGGCTTCGCCGCGCTGTTCGGGAATTATTCTGGAAAGTCTTCAGAGAGGTCAATTTGACCCCGCCACCCGAGCGCGTGTAAAGTAACATTGCTAGTCAAAAATCAAAATACTTCGGATCAGGGATAGAGTTTTACGGTGGCCATTTAACGTGCCACAACGTTCGGCACTGCCCGTCCTACCCTGAGTGTAAAATCATTCGACGCCACCTGAGGTTTACCGTTCACGTTGCTACTGGCCGCAGTTCATGCCAGTCAGGGCCAAGTGATAGGCACGTTAAGCGACACGAACCCTCCCCGCAACCAGAAAATGAATATCAATACAGACGAGTTCTAACCAACGAGTTTTTGCCACGAGCTAAGGAGGGAAAGAAAATATAAATTGCTATTTTTCTGGGCAAGCTTTCCATTTGAGAGCAAACACTGACACCTCCAGAATAACAAACCGACAGAAGCGTGACAAAATCGGATGCGCCATTTTCATGTTTAGATTTTGCCTGACTCCTAAGTGGAAAGGGTGAGTAGACAACCACACTGACATCCTTCACTGCATTCTTTTATTTAACACAATACTCGGTAGCATAGCAATTTCACACCCGCACGGACGGTCATGTAATATAGTTGACCGGAACCAAATATTTAGATGCATGTCACATTCCACTCTACTCAGTAAGTCAGTTATGATTTTCTGTGCTGAAATTGGGCGCGCATAGTTTTTTCCCAAGCATTGCAAAGTTAGTCGATTATTTTACCATTTTTAATCGCTGCAGTTGTATGCTCGTCCTACCCAAATACAGGTCAGATGCAACATGCAACATGCAACATGAAATAGCTCTTGCGTTCATGCGGGCGTGGTTGCTTTTCATCGTAGATATGCTGTTTCGATATTCCGGAGATACCAATTCTTTTTTTAAATGCGGAAGTTTGCGACAAAGATGAAAACTGACATTTCCACTCCCTTCTCTTCCGTAATATGCCCCAACAGCCAGTTGTTTAGGGCACTTACATTCCGATACGCCCACTGGTGGCGGGGAGCGTCCGAATCGCTTTACGCGCTGATTTTTTGGCCCTGACTGGCATAAACTACGGTCGGTGGCAGCAGATGCAGTAAAGGTCGGATGACGTCAGAGGAATCCCCAGGGTGCCGCAGAGGAAGCGCGCATGTCATGCTCTTCGTTTATTGGCTGCACAGAAGTAGGTGGTAACTTCTGTTCATCGAAATGCATGTGCTGTGCATCTCGCTAGTTTTGGATCTTGAATTATATCGTTCACAAAAGTAGTTCCATACTTTATCTATTTAATCTAAATGTTATCCAGTGAACACTGCCAGTACTCCATCCAACAAGCTCTATTCTATTTCTCTTTTGTGTGGTAAGAGCGTTCGGTGCACTTCTTTAACTCGGGGAAAAACATCATATTGCTCGAATATACGTAAAATGTTGACAAAAAAACTTAACAATGCGTGTTCAATAAGTAACCCATGGTTCTGCCTTTCCTTGGTGATGAGGGTGGAAACCAGAACCTTTTGCTAGCTTTGTTCAATACAAATTCCATGAAGCTTTTTATATTTGACATTCAAACCATGTTTGAGGATATTAAAAACAAAAACAATGAAGGAAGTAGGTGGACAGAACAAATTTTTGGCATCAGAGACAAACCTGCCGTTTTTGAGACACAGTCTCACATGCACATTAGTGTCGGTTTTTGGCCATTACTTATAAATCGGTCGCACCTGATATCACCACTAGTGACGCATTTGACGCACTGCTCAACCCAACATACTGCAAAATCATATGGTGCGACAGCGTCATCTTCATTGGCTTCATCAGTGCACCATTCACGCCTCATTCACACCGGCCCCTTTGCCACCCACAGTGCGCACAATGGGAATCAATAGGCGTAGGCCATTCCGTCTGCCGGCGGTTTCCGGTAATGCGACAGAAAACGAGCGCTATATACCACGAGTGGCCCGCTAATGAGGCGGATGGCAGCTGCGGCATACCGCGCCAGTGCCGGTCTAATGGTCCACTTGGACCTGCGGGTCTGCCGGATCATCTGCACATCAATACCGACCATTCCATAAACACATCTGAGGTCCGTGCGTACGCACAGCGTGGCTCAATTGCGCCCGCATTGCGCCCAACAGGCGTTTAAGTGCATTTGGAGATCATCCGGAAGTAACGTCACATATGGTAAAAAAAACACACAAAAGACTGGTGCTCGTAAAATGTGGACTAGTTCTCACGATCATTCCAGAACTTCGACAAACACACGATTTTTTGTCATTAAATTACGGACTCTGACTAAAAACCAGTCCAATACAAAGCTCCACGTGAACCACACCAAACATGTATGGCACGACAAAAATATTAACATATGCAATATATGTAAAGGGGAGAAGTTCACAATAATGACGGCGCAAGGGTGCCTTGTTTAAGCCTACATCACCAGGCACCGCCTGGTAGGAGAGGAGGCTCCCGACGGTGCAGGGGTGCCTTGTTTAAGCCTACATCACCAGGCACCGCCTGGTAGAAGAGGAGGCTCCCGACGGCGCAAGGGTGCCTTGTTTAAGCCTACATCACCAGGCACCGTCTGGTAGGAGAGGAGGCTCCCGACGGCGCAGGGGTGCCTTGTTAAGGCCTACACCACCAGGCACCGCCTGGTAGGAGAGGAGGCTCCCGACGGCGCAGGGGTGCCTTGTTTAAGCCTACACCACCAGGCACCGCCTGGTAGGAGAGGAGGCTCCCGACGGCGCAGGGGTGCCTTTTTTAGAGCCTCTACTCACCGGACGCGCATCAGACCGTCGTTAAAGTCATCTGGTGACACCGTGTGCGTTAGTCGGGAAAAGGTTGTGCTCATGCTGAACGGCTCTGGGTTCGTCCAGCTCTCCACAGACGTCCAGGCGACCTGCAACCACGGGGCGAGTGCGTTAGCAAACGTGTCCCGCATGTTCTGGTCCTAACTGATGTTCTGGTCAGTACATCAACACACCATTCGCTTGCATATTAATTAGCGCGTTTACCTGGTCTATTGCGCCAGGGATACATAGACCAATAGGTACATACACCAATACAGCCAGCCCGCTGTGTTAGACCATTTTGATCCGTGGTGCGCCAGAACCAGATTGTTCTGGAACACAGCAAAGCCTTTTTACTAACCTCAGCGAACATCATGGCCCTGTCAATATATGCATTTCAGTCAGACTCCTGCAGCGCATTCTTGAGCCGTCAGCTGTTGCAGCAGACCGAACGAGTGAGAGTAACGTCGCGGTTTAGGGGTTGTCACCACCCGGACCGCCAGCAGCAGCTCACCACACAACCACTGCACAACTTTTACATTCATTTTCGCACAACTCGGTAAATTCTTTACTTTGCCTCCATCGCCGCCAAGCTGTGAAAGTGGGCTGTCCATTTTCCCGTGCCCAGCCGCCACACTTAAGTTGTAAGTAGGGTGCCGTTTCCTATTCACTTGGAAAACTGGGGGTCCAGCCTGAAGCCCCAGCTCTAAAAAGAAAATGAGCCAAATCGCGGGAGAAATTCGCCTTCTCGCGTACTTTGGGATTATTCCGGGAGTTTGGTTGTTGTTTTCGGGTAGGTTTAGCTATCTTTCACGGCTCAGCCCACCCCTCTCTACCCCAACCTTTTCTGTGAAACTACATCTTGGACGGAAAGAACATAAAAGTCCTCTCGTGTGCAACCACGCCTCTTAAATTTGGGATTAGAGCAGCTGGCAAGGTAGCAATATGTGAACAAAACTTTGCCGAAGCGGCAGACCTGTCTCCGTGTGACGCCGGTCCGGAGTGACGCTTGGCGGGGGAGGGCATGGAAGGAGTAGGGAGAAGGCAGGGGAAATGTTCTTGTGTAACGTATTACAAACAATGACCCCAAAAACGGTGGCGCCGCTACGGACACCGACAACACGCAGAAAACGTTGCCACCGCTGCGAACACTGACAGCACGTTGCAACATTTTTCCAGTAAAACCTGTGGTCATCATCAGTCTTCAATGTAAATGTTGAATACGGTATCATGTTATCAGCACAAGTGGCGCATTTCAATTGGTAAATCGTTTTATACGTGTCGCACAAATAATGATAATCTTTCAGTCCCTTATATAAAGCTAAAGTCGCTTCTATAATCTTGACAGTGCTCAGCCCAGTTTGGCCAAGCCGGGAAGAGCTGACTGATGACGTCATCACTAACATTAAGCAGGGGTCAACAAATCCCGGGTTAAGACTGTTCCGCATATGCAGTTGCTGTATAAATGTGTAGATAAAAGGCTTGCACATGCCGTACAGGAATAGCAACGATACCGCTGTGAAGATGTCGTAAAACCATGAAGAATGCGTATCAGATTTTTATTTTAAGTCAAATGTGCCGTCACCAGAGCTCATGATATACCCAAAAATGGTCGTTCGGGTAGATGCAGTTAAAACTCATGCCAAAGGGAGTGTTCCAGATATGTGTGGGGTTTTCAACCGAAATTGCTATCTTGAAGGTCATTCGGTGCATTTCACAGCCCTGCCCTCAATACCTAAACCTCTGTAATTTCTTAGCTAAACACTCGCAAAGATGTGCGGATTATTTTGAGGGAGACTTTTCAGTTACCGAGGTATCCAAGACGCCATAATATTGTCATTCAAATCCTGTCATTTTATTTGTCATGCGACAGTCAATGCCCAAAAAAGTAGTGCGGTCGGGCCGTTCAAATCTGGCATCCGCGAGCACCATTCCTAGATATAACAACCCTCAATTGGCTCTCGATCGATTTTGTGCAAAACATGATAACATTGTCAAACAATGACGCATTGACGAGCATCATTACTAAACAGAGGAATCGTGCCATCAAGAAAAGTCTTCCACACTTCAACGTGTACCAATAACTGTACGTGAACTTAGTTTATCATATTTGATGCTTTCTGCATTATATTAAAACGCAGGACAGTCCCTTAAACACGTCAAGACGGGTAATCAGCGCACAGAAATAAGCGCTATCACGCACTCGGGTGGGAGTGGGGGGGGGGAATTTTCCCCCGTCCTGAAGGTTTTTCCGGATTGATTCCGAATGGCGCGGCGTAAACGCGCTAAATTTGCATAGCTGTAAATTATTCAATAGCGAATCTTTTGGTATCAACAAGTTTAGATGCGCCTCGTAAGGTTGCTGAGCTACGGCAGATCAAAGCCGGGTCACGGATGCAGCGAAAAAAAATTGAAGGAAATCTTTCAATCTGAAGCAATAATGGAGCATTAGACGAAGCAATGCATCTTTGAGACAGTTTTTCAGACAGCACAACAATTGAATTAACAAATCATATTGAGTTAAGGTCGCGTCTAAAGGTCAACCAAGGTGAAGGGCAGCTCAGTTCTATTTTCTAGAGCGTGCTGTATTGAGTAATTTCTGCTACTTATTTGCAATTTACTGATGAAGTGAGTCGTATTTTATCTTCTATGGTCTTTATAAACGGTAGGATGGGTAACTGACCTAAAATAACCCAGGCCAATATTTCGTTTCTAGGAACATACTGCCTAGTGTTATCATTGGCGTTCATTAAAGTGCAAAAAATCTGAGCAGTCTCGCATGATTTTGATCACCATGACCTCCTAGAGATCCCAAAATGTCACCGACTTTAAATAAGTACCAGTGATGTTTTGCTAAGAACAGGTGTCTAGCTTCACAATGGTTACATAAGAGGATCTGGTAGCACGTATTTGTAACAAACTGACAACAGGTACGTTGGCACCTGAAATTGTGCGTCATCAGCTTCACAAACACCATGAATAGGTGGTTACACGCGTCGCACTCGTTCATCTAGCCTTTCGGCTGCTGACGACATATACCACTGACCTTGGATGACATAATATGGCCTTTCACGTTCGCACGTGGCCTATTATGATCTTATTATGTGTTAGAATGGTATCGCAACATGTTTTTAGTGAAGTATTCAAATTTTGCATTCAAAATATATAATAAAACTGCCTATCTTGAGCTCAGTGTGCATCTTGCAGAAGACACCCAAAGAAATAGCTCATAACCTGCACCAAGATCATCCCTCTGAGGTCATACGATGGTTGTGCATGTGAGTTAGTCCTCTTTCCCTTTGATAAAAACACCAAATGCATACAGCAATGGGTACAAATTTGGAGTATTTTCGAAAAATAGGAAAAATGGCCTGCCTTCAGGTCACTGACCACGCATATTTTGAAAAACCTGAAACGTAAAAACCTATGATTGACAGATGAACAGATACTGAAAATTTGGTCTTCCTGTCCTTTTCGTTTTTGACCTGTGCTCAAAACAGCGTATGGGATGTCTCCCCCCCCCCCCCCAACCACCGCATGGCCACCGGAACGGAAGGAGAGGATTCATAAGTCACCAGCCGTTATCATTGGCCCGGTTACGGGGTGGGCAGGGACGAGATAACCCCACCCGGTCCACAGCTGGACACTTTTATCGGCCACCGGCCGCACAGACCAGTCGTACGCTCGCCCAGCTGGTTGGCACATGCTCATTAGTCGGCCTCTGTCCGGGTCACACGACGTACCGGTCAGCGCCGAGGGCCCGTGTCATAAGCCTACGCGCCGAGTCCGGCCGCCGCGACAGCTACGGCCGGCACGGAATGCCCGCGACATGAACGTCACACGCGTCTCGCCCGCCCATCCGTCGGCTGGTTTGCCGGCGGCCACCGGACAGTTCCGATCCACTTGGTAACAGCATCTTCGCCATGTGTTTCGGATACAGTGCTGACATCAGTAACTCTTTTCCACAGTACCTGTGTTAAAGGTTATGGCGCCATGGCAGTCAACAAACTGCTGTATCTGCCAGTTAGCAGCCAATCTGAGTGTTTGTAAGTTTTCTTTTTCGTTTGAGCGAAGTGAGTAAGATTCTACTCAGGCATATTTACATCATCCGGTATCATGCATTTCTAAAACACATACTAAAAACCAATTTTTTATAGGATTCAAGCGCTTTCTCGGTTGCCGCATTGAGGCCGTGTCAATCCAGTCGGCATATTTTGTGCAATTGGAATGGTTCTTAATCCATCCAATGCATTTGGCTCCACTAATTTTGGAATTCGATCCCATCAGATTCATGTGTTGTTTCAATTTTCCGGTCCGGCTAATCGATCCACTATTCGTGTATTTATTTATGCAGCGAAGTACTTTATTCAAACCATTGCTGGTCAGTGTGTTGAGACGCCGAGAAGCCATTTTGTGTCCAAGTAATTGCTTGACATTATTTTTCAATCAGTACCTCCTAATATAATGAAGTTTCGTTGACTGCAGCGTAAGAGCTCATGATACCGAAATTATGACACATCTGCAGGTCTGCTGTAGTTGAGAAAAATCTCTACCGATTTGGCTAAAAGAAATGCCGAGTGGCCCTGGCAAACAAAGAAGGGATTGTTAAGAGTTTACGGAATTATTTTTCCCAAGCTCCCCATGTCTTATGCGCAGGTTCCAGTATGATTCGGAAGCTTGAGGTGCTCTGCACAGCTATACATATATCTAGGCCGACTAATCTTTCAAAGGGACAAGTAACTCTGGTTCCCCCAACAATAAGACTGTTAGTTTGAATTGAGTTTGGGTTTCGCAGACATCTTTTATTTGTGAACCACTTCTTTCACATTGGTATGAGCGTCTTCATTTTTTGACATTGGTTTGAGCGCATTCATTTGGAAGCAGAGATGGCCAAGCGAGGACCAAGCCGAGAGGGGAGGGGCACCTGATTCAGGCCTTGCTCCTTCCCCCAATTTCGGTCTGTTTTTCGTTTTCATCATAGATGGCTCCTGACAGAACTTTACAAATCCGCGTGATGCGCTCTCACCGAGCCCCGGGCGCCACGTTCTGAAAATCCTGGCTGCGCTTCCGGGGACGGTTTACTCTTTTTTTCCAAATCGGATCTTAGTCC